TATTTTGGATAAATCAAATGTTTTAGGTAAATTAGCGTATCAGTATGAAAAGGGAATGGCTCAATTGAGTACGTATGCAATACGTAGGTAATATTTAGGAGAATATTTTTCTGATAATATAAAACGAGATGCATTTCAATTTCTCACAGTTCTTTGTGACAAATATGAATATATAAAAGATTCACTTTTGTATAAAATGAATACTATCAACCGCTGCAAAACTTGTGAAAATACAAAATGTACCACAAGTGAGAATATTATTTTTACAATATCTATTAATCATTTGAAGGAGAAAAGTTATAATCTTCAAGATTTAATAAATATTATATTTTTTTACATTGGACTAAATTGTTTAATGAGCCATGTGAATATTGTGCAGAAAATATGTTATTTAAATATGAATTAATATCGATGCAAAAAATATTTGTACGTATTATATTACAGGATGATAAGTCGATGAAAAAGTATAAACTTAATTTATGTACTGTTCCAACAACCAAAGTATTAATAGCTAAGCACTCTTATAAGGTCATGAATGCTATATTTCACAATGGATCAAGTATTGATAATGTTCATTATACAAGTATATGTAGAGAAGGAACCTCTAATGTCTGGATTGAAGCTGATGATATGCAAATTAAAAAAAGATCATGGCCAAGAGGCTCTAAGGATATTTATATACTTTTTTTGCAAATAATTAATAAATAAATAATAATATATAATAGAGAAAATAATAGAAAATAATTAAGAAAATGTTTAGTAAAAGTAATAAAAGACCATCTTATGTCTTGAATATGAGATGATAGCGGAGATCTTTTCTACTTTATATATATATATATATATATATATATATATATGTATTCCATTTAACTTTCCACATTTTATTTATAATCTGTTTCAGCAAATTGAGAATACGAATTAATATCTTAATACAACAGTATTGAGATATAACAAATTATTGATATATATGCGATATTATTTTTTTCATTACAGGATACACAGAGAAAATTGACGACAATATATAGTAATTTGATTTTGATATACTATCTGATATAAAGGAGTTAATGATATTTTACATTTTTCATGTTGCAAATTGATAATGAAAAACATATAAAACAGATGTTTACATAATAATATTAAAATGTATAATAATAATATTAAAATGAAGAGGATTGTCGTATATCTATAATAATATAATAAAAAATAAAACAAGGACGCAGGTGGAAATTATTCTATTTTTTTTTGTGTATAGCATTGAATAATATTAAAATTTTGGTATATACGTGTATATATAGAAAAGACAATTGCTAACAATATATAACATCAAGATACACGGTCGTGTATCAACCAAGTGCTGATTTAACTTTGTTTCAATATCTGTCTGGATTACAATTTGCATTATAGTTGATACGTAAATAAAGAGACAATCACCAAGAAACGTTAAGAATATATTATATTTTTCTGTTGCAAATTGACAATAAAGAACACAATATTAATGTTTGTGTTACAACATTAGCAAAGAGGACCGTCGTATGGTTGGAAAATTCGACGGGGGTGGAGGTGGGACCTCTTCCATTTTTTTTAATGTATAATTTTGAAATAAAATTTAAAGAACCTACTATTTGCGTAAAGCTACATAGTGCAAAGTGGAAGTTGAATGAAATAAAATTATTCTAATTAAACAAATTTATTTTTAAAAGATTATTTTTGTAAAAAAAATATGTGATATCCGAAAAAAATTACTTTTTAAAAAAAGTATAAAAAAGAAGCCAAGTGCACGTGCTTTGTCGTATTGTTTTAAAATTTACAAAAAAATCTTTACATAAAAAATTACAACAAAATCTGATTAAAAATTTAAACAACATAAGAAAACTAAAAAACAGCTAAAACATATTTTAAAAATTATTATTTAAACAATCTTTTTGCCCGATCAATTGTACATTCGAAAATACTTTACTGAAAAATACAATAAAAGAAAACATTTTAAAATAATTATACTAAAAAGTTGTTACTCAGAAAAATTGTCATTACAAAAAATATTAAAGAAGCAACTGAACAAAAATTGTATAACAGTTGGCTATTTACAAAAAAAAATACAAAGGATAAAAATTGTTACTTAAAAAAACTGTTATGCAAAGAATCTTTACAAAAAAAATATAACAAACAAATCCTGTTAAAAGATATTTTACAAGTCTTTACAAAAATATTAATTTTGAGCTATAGCTATTTAATTTTGTACTCTCTACAAAAGTAATGATATAAAGAGGTTTACGCCAAGTGCGAATGATTAATCATTAACATTTCAGTTCTCACTTTTATAAACACAAATTCTTTTAACTATATAAATATTTAAAGTAGATAAATATTAAGAAAAACGTTATTATATAAAACTGTTTGTCGGAGAAGCTTCTATAAAAAATTTAATTTTGTATTTCTTCCAAAAATAATAATAAAAGAGATTTACATAACAACTTTCATTATTATATTTTTTGTTTTTTTAATTTCATGTTTCGTTATTTGTTATATATTACACAGATCATTAACATATAAAACATTAACATAAAATTTTAATATTGTATATGAAAAATAAATTTTATATATTATTAACATAAATATTTTAATATTAAATATGAAAAAATATAAAAATATGTATATATTAAATATTAAAAAATAAATAATTATAAATAGAATAATTTTGATAAAAAAATTATAGACTTATATAAAAAGCACTTGCCGTGCCTTCTTTTATTGATTAAACAGCTGTCTTATTTTAAGGACGCCTAGGAGTTAATAACAATTAAGGACGCCCAGGAGTTAATGACAATCAAATAATCTAATTAATTTATTAGTGTTTTATTTAACCCAAACATGCAAAGTGCTTTTTGTGTAAAGCTACATATACTCAGTAGTTAATGATGATCAAATGAAAATTAATTAAATATGAATATTTTTAATTTACTTGCAACTC